GATACCAAAGGAGTAAAAGCACACTTTGCAATGGACGATAGTGGATTATTAGTGTTACAAAATGTGGAGTTATTAATTGAAAAAACTGTTACTGCTGATACAGAAGAAGAATCTACTTTATCAAAGATTGGAAATACGATTAGCAATTTGTTTAAAGGTAATAACTAGTTTCAATTAGTAAAATACTTAAAATAAAAATATTTATATTTAAAAGGTCCTGAAGAAGTATTAAAAGAAGAAAAACCAGTACATGAAGCGCCAGAAGAAGATCCTATTCCCCAACCTTCTAATAATACAACAAATAATACTGATACTTCTGATCAAACAAATAGTACTGAACAAGTGAAATTAAATGATACAATTCCAATTTCTGATTCTAAGAAGAATTTGAAAGTTGTAACTGTTAAAGAAACTATTGATGTTAACCATGAATACTTATTTGTACTTCCTGCTCAAGATGATGATTTGCAAAGTTCAATTAATAAGTATAGTACTTCTARATAAATGAACAATTCTTTCTTTATTGAACTGTGATTATTTTTTAGGATATCAGAACTTAAAAAAATAGATCTAGCAAAATCACGCAAGGAAACTTCTTTAAATAATTTAGAAACAGCTATAATTGAAACACGTGAAAAATTAGAACAACCTGATTATTCTAGTTCTGCTACTGATATTGAAATTCGATCAATTTTAGATAAATGTTCTGAGGTAATTTAAATTTCTTAAACAATAAATATTCAATACTGAAACTTTTAAATTAATTTTTAATGTTTTAATATAAATTAAAATTGTTAAGATATCAAATTGGTTAGAAGATGATGGTTTTGGTGCTGAAGCTGAAGTTTTAGACACTAAATTTGATGATTTAAAAAAAATTGTCTTACCTGTTTGGGAAAGAACTTTTGAGCATGCAGAAAGACCATCAAGATTGGACGCCTTAAATAATGCATTGAACAGTAGTTATTCATTTTTGGAAAAAATAAAAAATACCACATTGGATGATACTCCATTTACACAAATTGAAATAGATACACTTGACAAATTGATTTCCGAAATAACAGTAAGAATATTAATATTTAAAAATTATAAAAATTAAAGAAACATAGTTGAATACCTGTAAAAAAAAAAAAAAAAAATGTTTTTATTTAATTGTAGAGCTGGAAAGATAAGCAAGTAGAAGAACAGGAAAAACTTCCAAGGTCTGTTGATCCTGTGTTGACAATTCAAACAATTGCAATAAAGCATTCATCGATAGAACGCGAGGTGYATTTAAATTATAAAAATATTTATTAATAAGTATACATTTTTGGCTTAAAAATTAATAAAAATTAATTTTTTTAGATGAGATATTTAATGTCAAAATTCACTTCCTGGAAACCAAAAAAAAAAGAGGAACCTAAAGTTAAAGGTAAGTGTTACTTCTTGATCTACTCCTATTTAAATTAACAGATATGATTGGATTTGAGTGAGATTTTTTGTGTTATGTTTAACTTATCTAACTAATATGACTAATAAATAATTGTTGTCCGCGAAGCACCAACATCACAGACTGACAATGAAAAACTTAAAACACCAGAAGAACAAGATAATGATTCTACAGTTAAGACTAACGCACAAGATGATGTTGAAAAGTCTACTGCACATGAACCAAGTAGTGGTGTAGAAGATAATGCTGAATCTGAAAGTCCATTARAAACAGATAAAACTAAACCAACTGAACTACCAATAGTTGAACCTACCAAAACTGGTGAGAATCAATGGTGATGTTTATCAATGGTGATGGAGCACGGCAGTTTTTAATTTTTTTTATCATAGTTGCTTATTGCACACTTGCTTGCTCAGCACCACAATATATATTTTTACAGACAAAAATTTCAAATTGTCACATGATTTAAAGGCGGATATTTCATCATGGATTTCATCAGCATTGGTTATTTGTATAATACAAATTGCATTTCGCTTATTTTAGTAATTGAATCATTCATTTTAGAATACATTAACTTTATTGCACTGTAATACTATAAGTATTTTGTAACTTTCTAGGATACCTATCTTCTATAATTTTCATTTACTTAGTGGAAAATATTTATGTAATAATACTTATTTGAAAATTATTCTTACCATGAATACCAATAAATTGCTAGAGGTTTATTATTATTTTTTATAGTTATACATGCCATAATTTGTGAGGAAATAAGATGAAATTTACTTAAACATAACCTTTGATTATTGGGTTATTTATCAAATTTCATCTTATACACTAGAATACTCTTTAAAGGGGTGAAGATTAGGTTAGGAATGTTACAGTGCCAACTCTAATTCACGAGAGAACATTYTGTGCAACTATGAGAATAGTGATCTATCGCTTCGTGCATCCCCCATCAAATTCTCAATTAGCAACTCTTGATTGCCAGTGTCCTTCAACATTAATTGTAGCCAATTTCATGATATGTGGTCGATTGTTGTTAGAAATATTTKGCCTTGTGGAGGGGATGCAACAAGCTAGTCAGATAAATCTCATTCTATATGTGCAGAACTTGCATCTTCTCTCGTGGAATAAAGTTTGATTAAAAACAGTAAGATTCATTTTTAGCAAGCTTATGGAGAAAAAATGAATATATTTGCTGAATGCTRATACATACATTTTCTAGCCTGAGTTCTACCGCTACCTCTCTGCTTATTTAACATACAGTGTTAAGTGTTATTCAAATTTTAAAAACTAGTAATATGCACTAAATTATATTCCTTTTTAATATAATTTGATTTTATAAGTACTTAAAATATTTTCCTTTAGTACTTTAATTAGGGTTAGGATGTTTTTTAAATTATGACCTAATAAAACTCAAACAACACATGCAAATATGCCAAAAAAAAAAAATTGAAATACTCTCTTGAACCAATAAGACATGACATTAATATATGTTAAGTATGTTAAATTTTAATAATAATAATAAGTTTAGAATTTTGRTTATAAATATTTTAATTTAAAATAAAAACATTTTTTATAAGTTTTCTCAGTTGTTAYTGAAAAACATAAAATAAATATACAAAATAAAAATTGATTTATYTTATCATATAACTTGATTTGCAATGTGTGAYTAAAAGAGAATAAAATGAAAAATTCATAAGCATTCTAACCTTAACTATGAGATTTTTATTATCCTTCCCCTTCCCTACCTAATAAAAACCACTTATATAGAAACATTTTAACAACTCCCATAGGTGGATAGACATAAAAAAAAATAACCATTACTGTAATACCTTTACATTCATTGTTAATTCAAAATTAAAATAAAATAAATACATTTRTCTAAATACTAAAAATTCATTAGTGAAATATGTTTAAGTTAAGAATTAAATATTAATTACTAATTAGATATACTTGAATGTATAAATGTACAACATTGATTTGATAATCATTAGTAAAATTATTTAAGACTAATTTACTAATACTTTGTTCTTATATAYATTTTTAAATAATATTACACACTATTCAGTATAAGAAAGGTACCAGGTGGTCAATTCATGAAATGAGCGTGGCCTTGTTCTGAGGCTTTGCCTCCCATGCCATAGTAAATTAAAGAAGCATTTGACCACCACCACCTGATAACTTTCTTATTCTAAATAGAACATATACTGAAAAATATTCTTGAATATTAGTATAGGCTAGTTATTAAACTAGAATCTATCTATATTTTTTACAAGATATTTTTTATTAAGATTTTTTTTTGTGTTATAGGGGAGAAAGAAGATGATGTACACACAGAGTTATAATAAAAGAAACTTAGTGTCTAAATTATGCAAATGTTCACAGACTATCGTGCATTCCAGGATTCAATTATTGAAGACTAATGTTTATTCTGTACATTTTTTAATTTATTTTTCCTGGATGATTGCATTTTGTTGTATTTTTTTTTATTACGTCTTCGGGAATAAATTAGGACTCATAAAATATGAGTTGTTAAAATCACATGAAATAAGTAGCAATTTTTTTTTCAAAAAAACTGTTTTTAGATTCTGAACTCACAATAAATATTATCAAAGTATTAAACAATGAAAAMCCGATAATGATAAACAAGAAACTGTATATATTTTTAAATACTTGATACTTAAAATAATACATATTAATTAAAGTAGAAAACAAACTGTACATAACACTTTATTATTAGTGTGTTTAAAATTAAGAAGACATTCAGATGTTAATTATACATTGGTCTTTTGTCTAATTTTGAATAGTTGTAATTCTCATAAATATTAAAAAAGCATTTTTTATGAAACTATATTGAATTAATTGAAATATACACTAGCTAATCCAAAAATTGTATTGCAATTAATATTTAAAAACAATAATTATCTTAATAAATAATTCCTTACATGAAAGTATATTTTGAATCAGTCGTATTCACAATTTTCTTGTTTCATTTTGGTGAATATTATTTACATATTATTATTATTCTATTTCATAGTAACAAGGTATAATAATACACATTAAATGGTATAACCATACATAATCCTTTCTATAATTTAATTAATTAGTGTAATAAAATGTTCTTTTAAAACTTAAGTACAAGCATAAAAATTCATAGTACAATTTTTAATATATTATTATATTAATTTTTTTGTATTATATTTAAATTTCACTGAATGATCACAATAATTAATTTTAGCCCACCTATAAAGTCCACTGACAATGTCTTGTATGTAAAAAATAAAGAATAATAAAAATGTATTGMTAGTAAAAAAATAATTGTATATTACTGCTTTACATATTAAATGAATAAATGGTGTATCAATTATTAAAATTATTTTTAAATTGTATAATATTTACATTGTAAAAGTCTAGACAAAAAAAAAAACAAACTAGCCATCATGATATTTATTTTTATTTTTCTAGAAATTTTCATTGATGTTCTTGTGTTAAGAAAATTTAAATTAATATTATAAACCCTATTTTTACCTTTTAAACAAATAACAATTTAAATATTGAACAGTGAGAATATAAAAATATAACATTTTAAATTTCTTTCATCTAATTAATAAACTTTTATCAATAACATTAATTATAAAAGCAAATATTATTTCCAAGAAATAGGCACTAATGCATTAATTCAAGTAAAAGCACAACCGAAAATGTATGAACAATATAATAATAATAATTTAAAAAAAATATACATACCTACTAATTATTAATAAAAATAATAAATAATATAATTTACTTATTAGAATGTTTAAAAGTCTTATAGAAGATGGTAACACCAAAAATAAAAATTGTTAGTTTTTTTAATAAAAAAAAAGAAAAATTAACAATAATAATTACCTATTAATAAACCCTGACTATAAAATAAAACATATTATTCAATGGCATATTTAAGTCAAACCTTAGACACAACACTGGTGTAATGCAGTATAACAATACCATAATTTAAGTTATCTTATGAATACAAAAAAGTATATATAACTAAATTAATAATTTTAAGGACCTATTTAGAAAAGTGCAAAATATGACATGGTGTTTACTGTTTAGTAATGAAATTAAATACTTAAAAAATGTTAGGTTTTAGTTTWAGGATCTAATTAGAATAATAAATAAAGCAAAAGGCACTTCATAATATAAAAATTGTTAATCCTAAAACAATTTGATTGGGCAGTCAGTTGGTGATAAATAACAATTTTGCCATGGATTTTATTTGAAGTCATATAAAACAACATACAAATATCCTTAATAAGTGCCTTCATGCCATAAGGAATTTTACATTAAAGTATAACTACAAAAATTAACAGGTACATAATTTGTTTTTTTCTAGTTTAGTCATAACGTATTTTTATTTTTAACCAATTTTACTTGGCTGCCAGTACCAACTGATGATGCATCTTCTAATGAATCCAGGTCTAAAGCTGACTCGATCATTGTTGTGTCCTGAAGTAGTTGTAGCCGACTAGCACTCAGTGGTGGAGCACTAGATATAGTTTTTGACCCATCATCTAAATCTAGATCTGGATCTAATCGACCTGGTTCAATAGTCTCGTAAATGCCGGTATCATTGAATGTGTTAGTCAGGGATGTTACACTTTTATTGAATTTCACACCTATTTAGTGATACAAACAATATTATATAAAAATGAATGAATACATTTATTTATTAAATTCAATCTCAATCTTTAGAACACTTACCAACAAATATCAATCCTAATCAACTTACATGGTAGTGAAACGCATTTAAGAAGAAACAAAACATATAATATTAACAATTAAATTATGTTCTTTACATTTCCCAAAAAGATGAGCATTAAATTAACTAGTGTTATTTTTAATAYTATTTGATAAATGCATCCTAGTTGATGAAGTACCCCCACTATGCTCACGACAGTGACTATAATAAAGTTTTTGATTGTTTCTACATCGATAAGTAGGAACACGAGAAACAGCTGAATAATACATTGCTGCACGGTCCCTACGTAATGGTAGACTAGCATAAAAATAATTTGGATTAGTGGGAACTAAAAAATAGTCAGTTGGATAATGGTTATGTGTTGTGATCAAGATTGATGAATGTGAGGTTGGTGGCTTTTGATACAAACCATTTATTATATGACTTTGATGCACATGACTGTTTTGCGTATGATGAATACTAGGCATCGATGTTGTGAATGTATGTTGATTGCGGTCCAGGCTATCAGGTTGTAAAATACTAGATGAACCATATTGATGCAATTGTATCTCATCAGAATTTGTTTTGCCATTCTATGAGCAATAATTAAATTAAATACAAGAAATATTAAAATAATTATTAAACATTACCTGGTTGATAGGTACATCAGAAACTTCAAACCCTTTATTAGATATCACTGTATCTCTACTCTGACTTTTGTTCATTGATTTAGATTCCGTTAATGATAAAACCACACCACGTCTATCTGGAATATATAAAATGAATTTATATTATTTAGAACAATATATTAATATTTATGAATACCTAAAAGACTTGGAGGACGAGGAGAACACAATACATAACAATAATTGGCACAGATGTTACCTCGACTATATGGATTGGAATTTGGCCGTCCTGTTCGACTGGCAAATGATCCTTTAATCTAATTAAAACAAATTTTAGTTTTATTTAACAGTAAACCATTTATTTGCAAGGATGGAAGAAGTAAAATTGATGATTCAATAACTAAATACTTAATTACTGATTAGGTACTGACTAATTATAACCATTTTAATTTCAAAAGAAAATTTACTATAGAATGAATAAAATAAATAAACAAAATATCAATTTATTTTAAAATAACTTATATAATCAAAATTTCAATTTTCAATTTTGCCTTTTGAAGCACAATAATTTTGATTGAAAAATATTGAATTTTGAATAATAAATAACCACTTAAAGAGAATATATAATTAATAATAAAAATATATTTTAGAAAATCACATAAATGTAAATCTCAARTCACTGGGGAAAAAAAGATCAAAATTATTTATTAAAAAATATTCTGTATATTCAATCTAATCAAATGAAAGACTATTTTCTTTCCCTCCCTGCAAATGTTTAATTTTTATATTTATTATAAAATTATAGTATAAAATACACAAAAAAAAAAATCATAATATACTAACATCTTCATTAGTTGTTTGATTGGATGCAGCAAGAAATGTATGAAATCCAGCCAGCCCAATTACACTCCAACAACTGAAGAATGTAATAATTACTACTATCACACTAGTAGGTGATTCAGAAATAGCATCTACCATTAGTCTGTTTTCAGATACTAATTTTTWAAAAAATACACAAAAGTATAAAATAAATATATACTTATTTATTAAGATTAATTTGATCAGAAATGAAACCACTTACAGTAAAATAAATGTAGTACTGCTCCAATGAACACGATGATGATAAGTAAAGATAAACATACAATAAACATATAGAAAAACCTGTAATTCCGACGACCAACACAATTTCCTACCCATGGACAGTGATGATCAAAGTTTTCTAAATTTTAAAAATATATAATATTAAAAGATGTAAGTTATGTACATTTATCTATATTGTATACAAATATAACATGAATATTAATCAGTGAAAAAAAATCAAAGAAGGGTCTGGCAATTTTTAAATATACATATATTTCTTGTTTGTTATATGCAAACATACAAAAAGAATATTAATAAAATTAAATCATTTCAACAGTTTAAGAAAATCAGCGTTCCACCTTCAGTCACCCCAAAAATTGTTATCTTATAAAAAATAAAATTATTAAAATTTAATGATTACACGAAAAGTTAATATTTTCTGAAAGACAACTTTTGTACTTAAAAAAAAGGCTCCAGAACCTTTAACTAACAAATAATATTGTATTAAACAATTTAAATACTAAAAATCTTAATAACACTTACCAACACAATTGTTGCATAAACTACAATGGGAAGCTCTTGGCGGTCTAAAAATTTTGCAAGTTACACAATACTTTAACTTGATTGAATTGCCTTTAATGACTACCTCTTTGGTCCTAGGAGGTGGTCGTATAGTTGGGGTTCCTCCATTGTTTGGTATACTAATGTCTAAATTATAATCCATTAAATAAATTATATTTTATTCAATAGACTAAAAAAAATGCAATTATATAAAAATAAACAACTTTGAAGATATTTGATTGATCAAATAATATCCAAACAATCATCAAGTAAGTCCAAAGGAACTTTCTATCCTATACCTGCCATATGTTGAACATCATCCACCCTTGACATAACTATTCTCAAATTTTTCACATACTTGGCCAATCAATGCTAGTTGATATAAGAGTTGACATTAACTTGAAGTTCTTTTGAAACCTCATTTACCAACAAACCTATGCTCTTTTTCCTCATCAACATTTGAGACCTCCCACGTCTAATCAGCTCAACCACCACTTTGCAATTCCTATACACTATGCGCATCACTAATTATAGTTGGAATARTAACAATCTAATACACCACATGCACCTTACTAAAGTCCATCCTTTGTTTTATTATGAATCTAGATATCTGGTTCAGTTTTACTTCCACTGAATTGTCATTTGCTAGTAAATGTATTAAGCTATTACTTTGGGTAATGCCGTATTAAACAAAAATTTTAAATTTAATTATCTTGACTATTGACTGAACATTAGTAATAAAAGTTAATTTGAATAGTTATAATAATAAATAATTATTGAAATATGACAAAATTATTGTTCAATGATCATGGTTTAATGAAAATATTTCTTATTAAWAGAACTAACAAAACATTTATCAAATTTCTTTATATAGTTTTTAATTTAAATTCAATAATTTATWATTGACAGTCAAATCATCAAACACTAATAGCTTAGTTTTTAAAAGAGCATTAATTTAGATGAAATTATATGGAAAAAAATAATTATATTAAAGCGCTGAACATAGATTTTTCAAGCATATTAACTAAAATTGATCAGTGTCCAATAGATTTTAAATATATATTGGTTTAAAATATCTTAAGATTAAACAGTTTGGAAAATGTATTAATTGTATTAATAATTGTACAAAATAAGTACACATTTTTATAAAAAAATTGACTATTAAAGACAAGCATGTATAATTATAGAAAAATCACATTGATAATATTAATATTTTTATAATAAATACCAAAATAATTTTTATACAACACGTGCTGAAGGGTGATATGTCACTACCGTCTACCATTATTGCATCATATCTTTTAAACAAAACCTTTTAAAAAAACAATACAACAATGTACTGTGATAAAGCATTAAATACAGTTGCTTAGCAACTAGATATTTTGAGAGAGAAAATATTAAAAATTGAACTGTCCAAAGGTCCAAGAGCTTTTACACGGTTAAATMTAGTTATGTAAGACTTCCACTAATACCTTTAAATAGAGTAAAATATTTTTATCAAACTTACAAACTTGTTTCTCGATGTAAGCTGCTTCGTCGTCAGTCGCCCTGGGAATAATACCCGGGTCCGTGAAACTAGTCTTGAACAACGAGCCAATAACAAAGAGAAACAAAACTCCTGAAATAACTGGAATCACAGGAGTCACACGATGGCTAAGGTATGGACAGCTAAAACAAARAAATAGGAGATAATTTGTCACATCACAGATATTGGTCATATTGGTATATAAAATGGTGTCAACTCGACTCACTCGAATACAAAGAAGAGTACACTTGTACCAATGATGAGAATCACATTGATGTAGAACACTGCCGCATGCGGTGCCATCATGAGCCGGCCGTCACAGCAAAATCGGTTTCGACCAGGGAACATTTCCCATTTCCTGGTGACTTTGGCCATACCCAATGGATCATTTGAATCTGAATGGTATTCTGCATAAATGTCATAAAGTATTCGCCGTAGGGCAATGCATAACTACCTTCGGTTGAAATTGTTGAAACGGATAGTGGGACAAATGCAAACGAAAAACAATATAAATTTTAATTTGAATTATACCTAAAATATTACAGGTATCATATATTGTGTCGTCGATCAAGAATTTTATCAACAATTTAAAGGTAAACAAAAAACATCAAATTACCCATAGGCCATAACCTGCAATCTATATTGATTATAGATTACACATGATTTTGAGAACCATTGCGGTCGGTGGATGAGCGGGAACATTCAACCATGATAATATGGACAAATAAGAAATTAAGTACTGTCGGTACTACAGCTGCTGCACTACATAATAATATTATTCTGTGATATTACTTGTTATGGTGTCAACCGCGATATAGGATAATATTATAATGGTAACGTAAGTTTAGGTACTGTCGTTCAATAGGTAGGCCTTTTATACTCAAAAACTGATATTGCCTGAATCGTGTTTTCAAGTGTAAAAAGTATTGTGAACTTTTGAATTTTTTTTTTTGAAAACTTCAAATTACTTCATATAGATAGTGCCATAACAGCAGATCAAGAGAGAATTCCAGACTACCGGACACCGTTATGTAATTTTTCAGTTGCGGCATTTTATCATTTTAAGCAAATGATATATTAAGCTAACACCTTCAGTACTCAGTATCCACAGCTCACTACCCTAATTTTAAATATAGCTATTGGATTTATTTCTATTATTGATTATTAATTATATGTACAGAACTACAGAAGGATCTCGGTAATCCGTCCATTCTATAATCTGCTAGGTACGTCCTGTAATCGG